ACGCGGCGAGAGTCGATCCAAAAGGTCAGGGAGGAGCGGAACCGATCCTGGCAAACCAGTGAAACTCGCGTTGTCTTATTAAAAATACAAAACTACGGCTGGCGAGGGGTGGAGCGTGTAGTCCAGACTCGGGAGGCGCTAGGCAGAGAATGCGTAACCTGGAGGAGCTTGCAGTGAGCTGGAGATCGGGCCACTGCACTCCAGCCCTGGGGACAGAGCGGACTCTGTACTCAAGAAAAAAAAAAAAAAATTTTTAGGGCCAGGGCACAAGTGGGCTCCACACGTGTGAATCCCAGGGCACTTCAAGAGGCAAGCATGGGGCAGATCATTGAGGGTCAGGAGTTGAGATCAGCCTGGCAACATATGAACCGCACCATTACTAAAAGATTACAAAATTTATTTTAAGGTGTGGTGGGTGGGTACTATTTATTCACGGCTACTGCAGGAGCTGAGGGCAGGAGGGGAATGCATTTGAAGCCAGGGGCAGAGTTGCAGGAACTGGAGATCATGCCACTTGGACATTCAGGCTGGGCGATACGAGTGAAACTCATTCTGAAAAAAAAAAGCCACGTCGGTTGCATGGAACTTATGTTAGTTTAGGCTAATTAGGGTGGCTGGAGGTGCGGAGGATCATTTTGGACCTAAGAGTTCAAGGGCGTAGGGGTGAGCTTATGTTGTTAGCCACTGTACTACAGACGGGAGACAGAGTGAGCATCCGTATCTCAATTTTTTTAATGTAAACATAAAGATCTACATTTAACTAAAATCTATAACGATACATTTTACATTCCCTAACTTTTCATTAAGTCCTGATTCTTTACAACGACTTGGCTTTCTGTTAATACAGAATATATCAAAAGGGGCACAATTTACAAGGCTGTGCCCCAGTTCTTTAAGCAAAGGGCAAATCTTTATCACACTTACAAAGCAATACTAAGAGCAAAAATTACTAGGGTAGCTTTTTCTTTTTATTTTTTCCAGAACATTTTGCATATTATCTGCCCAGGCTACTATTAAAAGCAAGTTTTTTATTTTTTTTAAATCATCTTTTCACATCTTTCAAAGGCATTACTTTGTTTTTGTGGGTGTTGTTTTGTTTTTTTTTTTGATGATGCGGTTTTCTGTTGGCCTAGGCTGGAGTGCAGTGGCCATGCCCTCGGTCCCTGCAACCATCTACCTCCCGGGTTTAAGCGATGCTCCTGCCTCAGGCCTCCGAGTAGCTTTGGGAGCTTATAGGGGTGCCCACTACGCCCACTGAGCTAACCCCTTTTGTCGCTACATTTCTTCAGTTACTAGATCAGGGGCCCGCCCCCCCATCTCCCTATGTCTGGCCAGCGGGTCTCGAACTCCCTCCCCATCCGATCTGCCTGCCTACCCCGGCCTCGGCCCCCCTCCCAACACCAGGTGGGCCCTGGGTTACCAGCGGCAAAGCCACCTGCACCCCGCTGCCCTAGTTCGTCTTCAATTACTCAAGCCTCTGCCTTCTTCACATCCTTCCACCTTTCTCACTTACACCTACCTCTCTCTCACCTTCGTATATCCTTCACCAATCATTACATTCACCTGGGGCCCTCCTACATGATCCTACACCTTAACAAATCTTTCCAGCCCTCAACTGGTACCTCGTCTTACCATACCGCGCGCCGCTAATTTTTGTATTTTTTTGTAGAGACAGGGTTTCACCATGTTGCTCAGGCTGGTCTCAAACTCCTGAGCTCAAGTGATCCACCCACCTCCGTCTCCCAAAGTGCTAGGATTATGGGCATGAGCCACCGTGCCTGGCCAAAAATCACTCTTTTAAAAAATGTACCAAACAGTAAGAAGTGAATGGCTTCAATATAATCAGTTTTATCTACCAATTTCTCACTTCTGCTTCCAAGAAGCCCATGGTAGAAAAGGCTTTATTACAAAGACCTTTAAAAATTATTCCTCAACATGGTATATTTGAAATTTTGAGAAAATGTCCCTGTCCTGTAGGAAAAGGAATAAAATATGAGCAGCAGCATTATTATGTAAGCATCAACTATTACAAATTTATTTTTATTTATTTATTTTTTGGAGACAGAGTCCAGGCTGCACTACGGTGGCATAATCTCAGTTCACTGCAGCCTCCAACTCCTGGGCTCAAAAATTTCTCCCACCTCAGCCTCCTGAGTAGCTAGGACTACAGGTATGTGCCACCACACCCAGCTAATTTTTGTTTTTTTGTGGAGACAGGGTTTCACTCTGTTGCCCAGGCTTGTCTCAAACTCTTGGCCTCAAGTGATCCTCCTGCCTCTGCCTCCCAAAGTGCTAGGATTGCAGGTGTGAACCACTGCACCTAGCCAAGCATCAAGTATTATATCATTATCTGAAAGCTGCTAACTCTCCTAAAACACATACAAGGAAATTTCATATAATCTCTAAGATTACCAGTGAGTAGATCTGAACACATACTGTATGTGGACTCGAGTACCAGTTTTGCCAAACACATCACACTTCATCAGCTGTATCATCTTACAATGCAAAGTAAATGAAAGACATATTAATTTTGAATATGTTTATAGCACCAGACAAGCAAATAAAATGAAAAATTAACATGCTATTACATTTTCTCTTCATTTTATCAAAATACTTACACTCTTTGTATGAATTCTGGAAAAAGTAGTATATGGTGCCAAAAACTTAGAAGATGCACTTTCCTTTGGACATGAAATATGAATGCTTTTCTAAACAAAGAGGAAAAGATGAGATTTGTCAGTAAAACTCCTCCAATGTATTATAATTAAAGCCTCTTAAATAAAACATTAGGACTACAGGACATTCTCATCTTCTCAGTGTACCCTCTCTCATCCTCCTTTCCCACCCCACAAAACTATCCCTCCCCTATAGATCAGCAGACCTTTTAAACTGCTGAGGGCTACAGTGTAATTTGGTATCGCTAAGATGCCATTATCTTTTTATGTTGAAATAAACTGCTGCACAGAAGACAGACAAGCAGTATGATACAACCAACAAGCATTAGAGCGTTAGTTTTAAGAAGAAAATGTAATACCAATACTCTCAACTGGCAGTGGGGCAAGGAACAGGATCAGCGGAAGAGGACATAAAGAGATATAAGGAAACTCAGCACCAGCTCCCAAGCCTAGGTCTTAAAAGACAAGTCTAAAAGTAAACTTTCTGTCTATAAGAACTTTTAGAGAGAATGTTAGACTACTGACATTTACAATGACCAGATGAAATTGGTAAAGTAAATTATGGTACACCCATAAAATGTGTAGGTCTGGGTCAGGCTTGCAGTGCCTACTCCCTGCTTAGACTTAAATTGACTGTACATGTGCATAGACTGGTTATTGTAACACAGTTATATTTTGATGCCCCATGTGTTCTACCTAGTCATTATCACCTGTCTTTCTTTTTTTTTTTTTTTTTTTTGAGACGGAGTCTCGCCCTGTCGCCCAGGCTGGAGTGCAGTGGCGCGATCTCGGCTCACTGCAAGCTCCGCCTCCCGGGTTCAAGCCATTCTCCTGCCTCAGCCTCCAGTATAGCTGGGACTACAGGCGCCCGCCATCATGCCCGTCTAATTTTCTGTGTTAGCCAGGATGGTCTCGATCTCCTGACCTCGTGATCCGCCCGTCTCGGCCTCCCAAAGTGCTGGGATTACAGGCGTGAGCCACCGCGCCCGGCCTTATCACCTGTCTTTCAACTACTATAGGAAGATAACACTGGTGGCATATTAGGAAAGTATGCTTAGAACTAGATGTTAGATGCAGGAGACATGACTTGCTAAAGGCCATCTGTAACCATTTTAGATAAGAATATTGGTGTTTCGAGGTAGCATGTGTAGAGGTTAAAAAAAAAGGCTTGGTGGCTGAGCATGGTGGCTCACGCCTCTAATTCCAGCACTTTGGGAGGCTTAGGCAGGAGGATCACGAGGTCAGGAGATCAACACCATCCTGGCTAACACAGTGAAACCCCGTCCCTACTAAAAATACAAAAAAATTTAGCCTGGTTTGGTAGCGGGCGCCTGTAGTCCCAGTTACTCAGAGGCTGAGGTAGGATAATGTTGTGAACCTGGGAGACGAAGCTTGTAGTAAGCCAAGGTTGTGCCACTGCACTCCAGCCTGGGCAACAGAGTGAGACCCCGTCTCCAAAAAAAGGCTTGGTAAACTCTCCCTCAAGGACTCTTGCAATATGACAGCCCCTTACTCTAACCAGCATAATACCAATACTATCACCTAACTATAGATCTCCTATAAGGAATTGAGGAGCTACACTCACCAAAGGACCCCTAACCTTTTATCTCTTCTGTAGTAGTACTTCAAAATCTCTGGTAATTCTTTTTTTTTTTTGAGACGGAGTCTCCCACTGTTGCCCAGGCTGGAGTGCAGTGGCGCGATCTGCAAGCTCTGCCTCCCGGGTTCACGACATTTTCCTGCCTCAGCCTCCTGAGTAGCTGAGACTACAGGCGCCCACCACCACGTCTGGCTAATTTTTTTTTTTTTTTGTATTTTTAGTAGAGACGGGGTTTCACCATGTTAGCCAGAATGGTCTCGATCTCCTGACTTCGTGATCCACCCACCTCGGCCTCCCAAAGTGCTGGGATTACAGGCATGAGCCACCGCGCCCGGCCAAGTCTCTGGTCATTCTTCAGGACAATGAAAATGACTTCAGTAATCAAAATTTTCTGAATCTCCTTATATCCAACAAGCACAGGTCCTCACAGTTCATTAGAAAGAATGGTTTCAAAGTCAAAATATTCTCATCATTGAATCAGTATGTTCTTTACAGATCTACTCCTTTAAAATGACAATTAGACTATCTACACAAACAGCACTTTCTTAGCCAGCATATCCATGCCTGGCTGCCCGCAGGCCTTTCTTTAAATGAGTTTTTGCTTCTAACTGCGTGACAAAGCCCATATAGCTGCAAGAGTGCTGGCCTGGATTTGGAACTACCTTTTGTACCAGAAACTGAAGTGTCAGCTAAATTCTCTTGGCTGAATATTCACGCTAGCAAGGATGCAAGGAGTTTCAAAAGCTTAGTGTTTGGGCCTCTGTAAGAATTGGGTTAGCTCTCAGAAGACTTCATTTCTTTGGAGCTATGTGACAGATTTCAATAATCAGTTCTTTTCTCCTACTTTGCAATCTTGCAAATCAACCTTTGATCCACAAACAGACTATGAAGGAAGATAAATGTTAAAATATCTTCCAATATTAGCAGTGGACAATCATGCTGTTAATGAAAATATTTTAAAGAAAAACTGCAAGAGAGATCAGAACAGACAAAATTCAAGTGGAAAAAATGTGAGTATGCTGCACTAAGATAAAATTCTAAGTCAAACATTTTTATCCTCCAGGGTTAGACATTTAAGCACAATGACAGATCTACTGTTTAAGAGAACAATGTAGCAATATCAAATAGCAAAGTGACTCACGGCAGTTAGGAGACGAATGTTCAACTATAAGCACTTACTGTCTGAACCCACCCAGCAGGTTCACAGCAAAAATTAGCAATCATGTTTGAAGTGATAAGGACTGTATCCACGTCTGAGTATGAAGGGAAGAAAGAAGTCAGCACCCAGGCTGTGCAAAAACACCTGAGAAAAACGTAGGCTTGCATGGTAGTGCTAAACTTGGAATCAACAGAACTGGGTTTCAATGCCAGCATACAGTCTGTCTTTGATTATTAGAGATTAATTAACCTCTCTGAGTTTGTTTGCCTATCTGCAAAATGGAAATTTAAAATACCAATCCCACAGGATTGTCATGGTAAAACAACCAAAACTAACTTTTGTAGTATTTTATAGATTCATCCACATGCAGTCTCATTCCCCATTAACCATTCTAGGAGGTAGATTATGATCTCAGCTTTATTAATGAGGAAACTGAGACCCAGAGAACTACGTTATTTGTCCAAAATCACATAGCTAATAAGTGTCAGAATTAACTAAGACTTAGATCTTCTGACACCTATAATACCCATAGCTGTTTATGAAAAACAAATATGAAATATATAATAACATGTAGCCTATTACCTGGCCCAAAGAGAGTAATGAATGAACATTTGCTAAAAACTTCACTGTAACTACACACAAAGCTACCTCTCCTCTACTTCCTTCCGCTTAGCATTACCAAAATCGTTCTTTTTTTTTTTTTTTTTTTCCTTTGAGGACGCCGGAGTCTCTCACTCTGTCGCCCAGGCTGCAGTGCAGTGCACGATCTCAGCTCACTGCAAGCTCCGCCTCCCCGGTTTACATGATTCTCCTGCCTCAGCCTCCAGAGTAGCTGGGACTACAGGCGCCCGCCACCTCGCCCGTGCTAGTTTTTTTTGTATTTTTTTAGTAGAGACGGGTTTCACCATTTGGCCAGGATGGTCTCGATCTCTGACTCGTGATCCGCCCATCCTGGCCTCCCAAGGCTGGATTACAGGCTTGAGCCACTGCGCCCAGCCCCAAAATATTTTTTTATAACTAAAAAGTTTAATTACCATCAAAAAAAGAAATGAACACAAAAGCTGGTCGGCCTTAAGGAATCATCTCACCTTAGGGAATGAATGAACATTTGCTAAAAATCTTATATGAAAAATGAAGTATTCTCTATTCTTGTAAGTATATCCAAAATATTTTTATAACTAAAAAGTTTAATTACACAAAAAATGAAAAATGAAACAAAAGGTTGGTCCACCCTTAGGGAATCATCTCATCAGAGCATACTAACTGCAGCAGTCAGAATTAGTAGGGAGAGGCAAATCATGGGTGCACCAATGCTTTGCTTACCCATATACTCACCTCAAAGACAAACAAGAAAAACTGTTAAGTACTATTAATGTAGACTCTTCATCAAGGCCTCAACAGATATGGATTATAAGGCTACATTGTTCAGTGTAGTAGGTAACAGCCATATCAGACAACTGAGAACTACTTGGATATAGGCATATGTTTTCAACTGTAAATTTTATAAAACCTAAATACAGATCAAGTATTTCTAATAAAAATTAGAGTCTGAACTAGGCTGTAAAAGTAAAATATACATGGAGTTTTGAAGACTTAATAAGAAAAATAAATGTAAAATCTCTCTAATAATTTTTAGTAGTATTTACAGGTTGAAATAATGTTTTAGGTATACTGGGTTAGATCAAATATATTATTAAAATCAATTTTGGCTAGGCGTGGTGGCTCATGCCTGTAATCTCAGCACTTTGGGAGGCCAAGACAGGTGGATCACGAGGTCAGGAGTTCAAGACCAGCCTGGCCAACATGATGAAACCCCATCTCTACTAAAAATGCAAAAATTAGCTGGGCGTGGTGGCGGGTGCCTGTAATCCCAGCTGCTAAGGAGGCTGAGGCAGGAGAATTGCTTGAACCCGGGAGGCAGCAGTTGCAGTGAGCCAATATCGTGCCATTGCACTCCAGCCTGGGTGACAGAGCAGGACTCCATCTCAAAAAACAAAACAAAACAAAAATCAATTTCATCATTTACTTTTATCTCTATATAATGTGGCTACTAGAAAATTTTAAATTACACATACATCTTGCATTATCAGAACTGATATAAGGGAAATAAGAGGAAGTTTGATGGCACTTAAAAGTATATGTAACTACACGAGAAAAAGAAAACTATTAACACAGGCAGCAAAAACTATGATTCTCATATAAATGAAGTGGAGATACACGATAATCGTATAAATATCTAAAGTAGATGTATGGGTACTACCATAGTTTTAAATATCATGCCATCTAGAAGATATAAAAACATACCTTGTTTATTTCATTCACAATAAATCCTTCTGAAGCTGTAACCTCTGGGATGCCATCTAGGCCAATTCCTTGACAAGTTAGGCTGCCATACAAAGACGGTTTCCCTATATGGTACAAAAAAAGCATGTCTCAAAAAATAAGAAAAATTTAATATTTTTCTCTTTGAAGACCCAATTCAGGTATCTGTATAAATAGTAAACCCATGAAATTGGCCCATGAAAGAAAAACAGGTACCTGTGTTAAAAGTCAGGTGAAGTAAAAAGAGAATTAGATTAGGTGTCTTAGTCTGTTTAGTGTTGCTATAAAGGAATACCTGAGGCTGGGTAATTTACAGAGAAAAGAGGTTTATTTGGCTCACGGTTCTGCAGACTGTACAAGAAGCATGGCACCAGCATCTGCTTCTGATGAGAGCCTCAGGCTGCTTCCACGCATGGCAGAAGGAGAAGGGAGCCAGTGTGTGCAGAGATCACATGGTGAAAGAGGAAATAAGAGAGAGGAGGGAGATACCAGGATCTTTTTTACAATCAGCTTTCTCAGGAAAGAACAGAGTGAGAACTCAGTCACTCTCACTCCCCAGGGAGGACATTAATCTATTCATGAGGCGTCTGCCCCCATGACCCAAAACACCCCCCGTTAGGCCCTACCTCCAACACTGAGGATTAAATTTCAACATGAGATTTGGAGGGGTCAAATATCCAAACTATAGCACTAGGCAACTCTAATTTGAAAGGGAATACACTTTCAAGACTAAAATGCATATTCTATTTTTTTTTTTTTTTTTTGTCTGAGATGGAGTCTCGCTCTGTCACCTAGGCTGGAGTGCAGTGGCGCGATCCGGCTCACTGCAACCTCCGCCTCCTGGGTTCACGCCATTCTCCTGCCTCAACCTCTTGAGTAGCTGGGACTATAGGCACCTGCAACCACACCCAGCTAATTTTTTATATTTTTAGTAGAGATGGGGTTTCACCGTGTTAGCCAGGATGGTCTCAATCTCCTGACCTCGTGATCCGCCCGCCTCGGCCTCCCAAAGTGCTGGGATTACAGGTGTGGGCCACTGCACCCGACCTGACTAAAACACATTTTCAAGACTAAAAAAGAACAAAGATTTAGTGATTTGATACAGCATTTGTAGAGAGGGCTGCTAGAGTGATCTCAACCTGATGTAACTGGCTGTGAAATGTAATTCTTCCAGGATGAAAGGTGAAGATCAATATGCATACATGTATTTATCCACAGTATATACACATAATACACAGTAAAGAATTAAGCTTCAGTAACCTGTAAAATTTGCCTAAGTAGAATACTGATTTTGCAGAGATATGGGCCAAGTAAGATATTATCCTACACATAAGCACACGCAGATGATAAAATGAAGTTAAAAACTGTTTCTATTCTTCTTCTACATCTTATATATTCATGTCCAAAACAGCCCATATAACACACTGTTTACATGCCTGACTTGCCCAACAGACTGTGAAGTCCTTGAGTCTACCAGGGTGCTACATTCATTTATTATTCAGTAAATAAATGTTGAACCAAACTGAAGTTACAGAAGAGAGAAGTAGAAATCACCATGGATTCACATAAGAGTGGGAGGGCTTTTTTTTTGAGATGGAGTTTCATTAGTGTCGCCCAGGTTGGAGTGCAGTGGCGCGATCTCAGCTCACTGCAACCTCCACCTCCTGGATTCAAGCAGTTCTCATGCCTCAGCCTCCCAAGTAGCTGGGATTACAGGCACCTGCCACCACATCTGGCTAATTTTTGTATTTTTAGCAGAGACGGGGTTTCACCAGATTGGCCAGGCCGGTCTCGAGCTCCTCCCCTCAGGTGATCACCCACCTCAGCCTCCCAAAGTGTTGGGATTACAGGCGTAAGCCACCACGTCCGGCCGGGAGCGCTTTCTAGAGAGTATAGGACTTGCGTAGGATCCTCAAAGAAAGATAGGAGCTGGCTAGGAAGAAAATAAGGGAAAGAAAACTCCAAATTAAGGAGGAGCATATCAAGAATGAAAGAAAGTCGGCTGGGCATGGTGGCTCACGCCTGTAATCTCAGCACTTTGGGAGCTCAAGGTGGGTGGATCACAACATCAGGAGTTCAAGACCAGCCTAGCCAACACAGTGAAACCTCATCTCGACTAAAAATACAAAAAATTGCTGGGCGCGGTGGCTCATGCCTGTAACCCCAGCACTTTGGGAGGTTGAGGTGGATGGATCACCTGAGGTTGGGAGTTCGAGACCAGCCTGACCAACATGGAGAAACCATGTCTCTGTTAAAAAAAAAAACATACAAAATTAGCCAGGCTTGGTGGCACATGCTTGTAATCCCAGCTACTCGGGAGGCTGAGGCAGGAGAATTGCTTGAATCTGGGAGGTGGAGGTTGCAGTGAGCCAAGATTGTGCCATTGCACTCCAGCCTCCAGCCTGGACAACAAGAACGAAACTCCGTCTCAAAAAAAAAAACAAAACAAAAAAAACAAAAAAATTAGCCAGGCATGGCGGCACACGCCTGTAGTTCCAGCTACTTGGGAGGCTGAAGCTGGAGAATCACTTGAACCTGGCAGGCGGAGGCTGCGGTGAGCCGAGACTGCGCCACTGCACTCCAGCCTGGGCAACAGAGTGAGACTCCATCTCAAAAACAAACAAACAAACAAAAAACTCCTTGGTTGTTGAAGGTAGCTTGGTAATTAAAAACAAAACAAAACTAAGTTTGTTGCTTTGTAAAGACTTGATAATTTTTTTAAAAACTGTTTTAGGCCAGGGGCAGCGGCTCATGCCTATAATCCCAGCACTTTGGGAGGCCAAGGCAGGAGGATCACTTGAGGTCAGGAGTTCAAGACCAGCCTGGCCAACATGGTGACATCCCGTCTCTACTAAAAATACAAAAATTAGCTGGGCATGGTAACATGCACCTGTAGTCCCAGCTATTCAGGAGGCTGAGGCACGAGAATCGCTTCAACCCGGGACTGGAGGTTGCAGTGAGCTGAGATCATGCCACTGCATTCCAGCCTGGGTGACAGAGCAAGACTCTGTTTAAAAAAACTGCTTTAATAGTATGTATGGGCAAGATAAATGCAAAATGTTAGGGAAAAGATCTAAAAAAATATAAACCCCAGTTGACATTTTGCTCTTAGATTGCTTGCGTAAGTAAAGATTTGCCTTGCTTTAAAGAAACTGTGCCTTTCGGTTATGGTTTATTATAAGAAAGCCAAGGTCCTTGTAATAATCAGTGGACTAATGAAGAGATGGTGAATTTTAATGTATGTTTATATATTTTAGTTAAAATAAAATGTAGGTCTTTTGTGTATTTTTTTTTTTACTTTTATTTATTTATTTATTTTTGAGATGGAGTTTCACTCTTGTTACCCAGGCTGGAATGCAATGGCACGATCTCCACTCACTGCAACCTTCACCTCATGGGTTTAAGCGATTCTCCTGCCTCAGCCTCCTGAGTAGCTAGGATTACAGGCAGCACCACCATGCCCGGCTAATTTTTTGTATTTTTAGTAGAAACGGGGTTTTATGTTAGCCAGGCTGGTCTCAAACTCCTGACCTCAGGTGATCCGCTCACCATGGCTTCCTAAAGTGCTGGGATAACAGGCGTGAGCCACCGTGCCCAGCTTTTTTTTTTTTTTTTTTTTTTTGAGACGGAGTCTTGCTCAGTCGACTAGGCTAGAATGCAGTGGCATGATCTCGGCTCACTGCAAGCTCTGCCTCCCGGGTTCATGCCATTCTCCTGCCTCAGGCTCACGAGTAGCTGGGACTACAGGCACCCGCCACAATGCTTGGCTAATTTTTTGTATTTCTTTTTAGTAGAGCCACTGTGCCCAGCTTTTTAATTATTTTTATTTTTTAATTGAGACAGGGCTTCGCTCTGTCTCTCAGGCTGGAGTACAGTGGCACAATCCTAGCTCAAACAGTTAGAATAGGATTTTTGAACATAATTAAGCACAATAAAATAGGTAAAATAAAATAGGTAAAATAAAATACAGTATTGTCCTTGAATTTTTATGTTACATATACATGTATATATGTGTATGTATGTGTGTGTATATATATATTTGTATATTTATTTGTGTGTGTGTTTCTTTTTTTAGAGACAGGGTCTCACTTTCTGGTCCAGGGTAGGAGATCACGTAGCATGATCACGGCTACCTGATCAGGGTAGGAGATCCAGTAGCATGATCACAGTTCACTGCAGCCTTGACTTGTTGGACTTGAGCAATCCTCCCACCTCTGCCTCTTGAGTAGCTGGGACTACAGACACCCAACACCATGCCCAGCTAGTTTTATTTGCTGTAGACACGAGGTCTCCCTATGTTCCCCAAGCTGGTCTCAAGCAATCCTCCATCTTGGCCTCCCAGAATGGTGGATGATAGGTGTGAGCCACCACATCTGGCCTTATACTTTAAGATGATTGGCAAGTCACAACACTATAAAGTCAGTCCTTTATTCCACTGATATAAACAATAATCTTTTTTTTTTTAAATGATGGGGTCTCACTCTGTCACTCCGGCAAGAGTGCAATGGTTCAATTGTAACTCACTGCAGCCTCAACCTCCTGGGCTCAAGAGATCCTCCTATCTCAGCCTGCCAAGTAGCTGGGACTATACAAGCATGCCACTATGCCTATTTTTTTTTTTATTATTTTTTATAGAGATGGGCGTCTCACTTTGTTTCCCAGGCTGGTCTCGAACTCCTGGGCTCAAGTGATCCTCCTGCCTCAGCTTCCCAAAGTGCTAGGATTATAGGTGTGAGCCACTGTGCCTGGCCAAAACTTTATTTCTCATAGAAATACAATATATCAGCAGCATTTGAAATGAAAGATAATCAGCAAAACAAAACTTTCTCACAGAATTTAGAAGGAAGGTTGATTTGTTTTAGAATGGTACCATGGCCGGGCGCGGTGGCTCAAGCCTGTAATCCCAGCACTTTGGGAGGCCGAGACGGGCGGATCACGAGGTCAGGAGATCGAGACCATCCTGGCTAACACGGTGAAACCCCGTCTCTATTAAGAAATACAAAAAACTAGCCGGACGAGGTGGCGGGCGCCTGTAGTCCCAGCTACTCGGGAGGCTGAGGCCGGAGAATGGCGTGAACCCGGGAGGCAGAGCTTGCAGTGAGCTGAGATCCGGCCACTGCACTCCAGCCTGGGCAACAGAGCGAGACTCCGTCTCAAAAAAAAAAAAAAAAAAAAAAAAAAAAGAATGGTACCACATTGGTTACCAATTTGAAAAGAATCCTGTGAATGAAATAAAGAGTGTTGTTCAAAAGAAAAACTGATAAGACTTGGGAGCTTCCTGGATATGGCAGGGTCAAATAACTAGGTTTTTCACTCTGGTGCCTAGAAAAATGATGGTAACTTAAGAAATGAGAAAATCAAGAAAGAGAACTCACTTGACAACAAATGTACTCAGCTTGGTTTTGGACTTCAGTAAGTCAAGTAACTTAAGGTGTCAGTGAGACCTTTAAGCAGAAATCTCCAGCAAACAACTGATCAATCTCTGTTTGAACATGGAGAAGTCAGGGCTGGAGCTATAGATCTAGAAATTATCATCAAGAAGGTCCCAGTTAAAGCTGCAGAAGTGCTTAGAATACAACAGCACAGGGTAAGTGATTAATTAAGATGCATCAACAATGTCTCCATGAATAAGTCTGTGGCTTTCAAATGGAAAATCAATCTGAAGGCCTTCCCTTGGAATGGAGGAGTTGGGGTGTTAGCTATACAGTACTGACTGGTCAAGCATTTTTGCAGACTATAAGTATTATATAAGGAGGCTGGGCCAAGAGAAAATAGGAAGCTTTCTTTTAAGGGTAATAATCCTTCTTCTTTAAAGTGACAGCATATAGGGTATTACCTGGGGGATGACAGCTCAGCCAGGCCTCCCCTTCATCCTTCCTATGAAGAAAGACAAAAGCTTAATTAGGCTCACCCAAAGTTGAACAGGATCCCATAGTTACAAGGGAAGAAAGAAGGTCATGTAACCTCCAGTTTGGTCACAGTACTTAGACATGAGCTAGTTCAACCTCTCATCAGGTATGGATCATTCTAAGACAGACAAACTTTATTTGTTCAAGAAGTATTTGTGGATTAACTATTTAATGAATAGATATCTGTTGGTTAAATTAATGCTCATCCATCAACAGTGAGCTCACTTTGAAAAATCAAGGTTATCTAATTAGATATTTATCAGGATTATTGTAAACCAAGCCCTGTGCTAAGCACTTTCCATATACAATCATTAACTCTCACAATAACCAAACAAGATTCCTTTTATTATTTCGGCACCTGCCCAATCATCCAAATCCTGATCTCTTCACCCTAGCACTTTTAGGGTCTAATGGAAAGGGTCTATGCTTTTAAGACAGAAACATCTAGGTTGACAGTAACTCTCTATCATTTGACGAGATGCATGATCTTGGGCAAGTTAAGCCTTCTGATTCTGGTGCTGTACTTTCTCATAGGTACCTAGTGGAACTTCATGTTATTGTTCTTTACTACTTATCACATTCTGTGTACTAGCAACTAGTCTGTATTTTAGCCCACCTAAATTAAGTAAGGTATAAATTTAGTAAGGTGAAAATTTCTTAAATGCAGAAGGCTGTTTCATTCATCTTCACCATTGTTTCAATTTGAAAAACCCTTATTAGCAGTAGCAGTTGACAAATATGGCACTGCTATATCCATCCTGATTCCTAGAGAAACAACTGGCACAGTATAAGATCAATAAACGTTTTATGAATGAATAGTTGGCTGTGTATTCCTACTTAAGATTTCAGCTTTTCTTTTTTTTTGAGATGAGTATCGCTCTGTCACACAGGCTGGAGTGCAGTGGTGCAATCTCAGCTCACTGCAACCTCCACCTCCTGGGTTCAACCGATTCTCCTGCCTCAGCCTCCCGAGTAGCTGGGATTATAGGTGCCCACTCCCACACCCGGCTAATTTCTGTATTTTTAGTAAAGACAGGGTTTCACCATGTTGGTCAGGCTGGTCTTGAACTTCTGACCTCAAATGATCCACCAATCTCAGTTTTCCAAAGTGCTGGGATTACAGGCATGAGCCACCGCACCCGGCTTGGATGTCAGCTTCTTAAGAGCAGGAACCATCACTTATATTTAGAGTATACATCTGAGCTCCACCAAGCATCCCGTACGGGGCCTGGACATAGTGTTAGTTTCCTTAATAGTATCGTTCAGTATGCCCAATATAGCATTAGGGGCCTAGGAGAATACAAAGGTTCCATCACATGCACAAAGTGGTGGTGACTACAGGGACTTCTGGAAATAACTGACGACTAATCAATATTTGCTAAATGACTGCTTGGCCAAGAGCCTTCCTGCCTTCCAGTATCCCTGTCTTTCTCCAACTCATTCACACTAATTCTGACGCGGGGATCACACAACTCATGTGCTCCCTTGGCCTGGGGATAGCTTTTCAGAGAATGACCATACGGGTTTGAGACTTCTTTTTCCGGACCCTGTTCCCTCCATATCCCTCAACAATTGATGAAGTAACCCCTATTGATATCCTGGACCAGGCATGGCTCTCCTTGACGCAAAAGCAACATCCACTACCCTCCTCCTCTGACTCTGTTCTGGGCCTGGATTCACCTTAGGGCTTGCGCCCAGTCGCTCTGAATCCTCAAAGGCGCCGCCATCTCGACCCCGCCTCCACCAGCCCACCTCTTCCGCCCCTTCCCGGAAGTGGGTCCCCGAGAAGGGTGCGGCGAGGACAGAGGGTGGGCTCAACACCGAGAGGCCACCAATGAAAACGTGCCTTTTTCACGTTCCCCGCCCCTTCCGTGTGCGCGCTCCACACGAGGGGCTGGTTCCCGGAAGGATGGACAGAGGACCCTCAACCGCCCGCGAAGCTAAAGCCGCTGCGTAGGAGCGTGTGTTCGGGCCCTCTTCTCCCACCTATTCGGTGAGCATCGCATACCGCGTTCTTCAGAAGGCGTTGCGGGCCCAAAGGTGCAGCGATTAGCGGCCGCGCGCGCGCGCATGCGTCCTCAAAGTTCAAAGTCCGCGATGCCCCTGAGGCGTTTCAGGCCTCGTGGCTGCCAGCATTTTTCTGCTTTAAGATCCTTTCCATGACTTCCTAGTTTAGGCCAGCCTCCACGATCCAGCTGCCAACCATCTAGCCTACCCTGATCTCTGAGCAGGGGTCGTCCTCATTTTACTCTGGAGACTGAAGCCAGAAGGTGGTGAGAGGAGAGTACAGTAGCATTTACTGAGTCCTGTTGTAGCCCAAGCACTTTTCATTCGTTAATCTTCATTCTATTGTGCGAATTAAATATTATTAATGGGGAAACTAAAATGAAAAAGTTTACATAGTAAGGCGTAGTGCTGGGATTCGAATACGGATCTCTTGGTTTAGGATCCAAGGCACTTTCCATTCCACTGTTCTTTCTCTAAATTATTTGCTGCTGGCCTGTTTAGGAAGAGAAAACTATCATTTATTGAACTCTTTAGACGTACTAGCCTCCTTACAAACCTTATCTTTTTTTTTTTTTTTTTGAGACAGGGTCTCCCGCTGTCACCCAGGCTGGGATGCAGTGGCATGATCACGGCTCGCAGTGTTGCCCAGGCTGGGCGCAAACCATCCTGCAGCCTCAGTCTCCCAAAGTGCTGGGATTACAGGCGTGAGCCATGGCACCCAGCTTCATCTCTGTGTTTCCAGAGAGGTTATCAAATGACGTGTCCAAGGACACCAAATGAGGCAGTGACAAAGCTAGGTCCGAGTCTGTTTCAAAGCCCATTTTCCCCCTCCTGCTTAAGTTATACTGCCTCCAAGGCAAATGAGTTGTGTAAAGTGCCTGACTCCCTCTTGTGACTTCCCCATTGCCCTCAGAATAAAAAGTCTTAAATTCCCTACTATGTCCTACAAAGCCCACCAGTTTAATACTGTCTTGTTCTGATACTCTATTTTCCCATCACTGAACTTTTTTTTTTCTCTCATGTATCAGATTCTATCTCAACCACCTGCTCTTCCATTGACCAAAAATAGTTTTCCCATCTCTGGCTAACTTTTGTTCCATATGTCAAGTTTCAGCTTGGAAATCACTTCCTCTAGGAAGCCTTCCCTGCTATTCCTGCCCTTGTCTGGATTAGGTATCCCTCCACTGTGGTCCCAGTCTTCGCTATCTGTACACTGCATAGTAAACTGCCCTGTCTCCTTGTCTAGGTTGTAAACTCCATGAAGCCAGGAACTTAACTGACTTAGACACTCTTGAATCCTCAGCACTAGCATAGTGCCTGGTACATGATAGGTACTTAATCATTGGTTGAGTGAATGAGAGACACAGTAAAGGTAATAAGGAGTCCTTCTAGTTTCTTTACAGCCCATCATGGTGAAATTTTTGCAAAGGCTGAAGTCATTTCTCTTCAGATCTTAAGTTCCTTCTGTATGCTGCTTTCTGCTGAGTGTTCTGATGCAGATGGGCATGACAGTTTGGGCAAATAAATACATCTCACATTTTTGTATAGTTTACAAAGCTATCTCACCTTATAGATGCAGAGGCCAGGTTTCTGCATGGTGTATGCTACAGCCACACTGAGCTCTTTCTATCCTTCCCATGTGCCAAAACCTACCCATATTTGGGCACCCTTTCACTTTGTTTTTTTGTTTGTTTGTTTTGGAGTCTCACTCTGTCGCCCAGGCTGGAGTGCAGTGGTGCAATCTTTGGCTCACTGCAACCTCTGTCCCCTGGATTAAAGCGATTCTCCTGCTTCAGCCTCCCAAGTAGCTGGGATTACAGGCACCTGCCATCGTGCCCACCTAATTTTTATATTTTTAGTGGAGATGGGGTTTCACCATCTTGGCCAGGCTGGTCTTGAACTTCTGACCTCGTGCTCCACTTGCCTCGGCCTCCCAAAGTGTTGGGATTACAGGTGTGAGCCACCACATCCAGCCTCTTTCACTTTTTAAACTTTGTTCTTCAGCATAGAATAAGACTAGCAGGATAAAAGAACAGTTATTTATTTATTTGAAACAGGGTCTCACCATGTCACCTAAGCTGGAGTATAGTGGCAGCATCATAGCTCACTGCAGCCTTTCAACTCCTGGGCTCAAGGGATTCTCCCTCTTCAGCCTCTTGAGAACCTGGGACTACAAGTGTGTGCCACCATGCCCAGCTAATTTTTAAATTTTTTTTCTTTCTTTTTTTTTTTTTTTGAGGCCTCAGAGTTTCGCTGTTGTTCCCCAGGCTGGAGTGCAGTGGTGTGATCTCGGTTCACCACAACCTCCGCCTCCCGGGTTCAAACGATTCTCCTGCCTCAGCCTCCTGAGTAGCTGGGATTACAGGCATACGCCACGATGCCTGGCTGATTTTGTATTTATAGTAGAGACAGGCTTTCTCCATGTTGGTCAGGCTGGTCTTGATCTCCCGACCTCAGGTAATCCAACCACCTCGGTCTCCCAAAGTGCTGGGATTACAGGCGTGAGCCACCGTACCCAGTCATTTTAAAATTTTTTTGTAGAGATGAGGTCTTGCCATAACCCAGGCTGGTCTCAAACTCCTGGGCTCAAGGGATCTTCCTTCCTCAGCCTCCCAAAATGCTAGGATTACAGGTTTGAGCCATCGTACCTAGCTGAAAGTTTAGTTCTTTTTAGGTAGATCAGAGATAGCTTATCTAAAAAGATGACATTTCACCTAATTAATATTCCAATAGCAAAATCCATTGAACTTATTGAATGTTATGTCAAGCATTCTCACATGGTTTATCTCATTCAGTTCAAACCACTTTGCAGGCCTGCTCTCGGCCAGGCCTAGTGCTGGAGGCACAAAGGTAAATCAAGACAAACATCAGCTGGGCACAGTTGGCTCACACCTGTAATCTCAGCACTTCAGGAGGCCAAGGCAGGAGGATCGCTTCAGCCCAGGGTTTTGAGACCATGCTGAGCAACATGGAAAAACCTTGTATCTACGAAAAAATCAAAAAAATTAGCTGAGTGTGGTGGTGCACACCTGTAGTCCCAGCTACTCTGACTGGGGAGGAACTGAGGCGGAAGGATTGCTTGATCCCTAAAGATGGAGGCTACAGTGAGCCTGGGCAACAAAGCAAGACACCCTTAAAAAACAAAACAAAACAAAACACAAGCATCTGTCTGCAAGCTTAGAGTCTCCCACGGGAGACATAAACAGGCTAAACGGTGCAGTCTGGTCAGTGCTATTTATAATCTAGGAACCTTACATATTATATCCCCACTCTAACCTTGTCTCTGTTAATATTCTATAGACTCCCCATCCCCAGGATGTCAACCTCAGCCCCTCAAGGCCATACCTGGACCCAACGGGTGAAGAAGGAGGATGAGGAGGAGGACCCGCTGGACCAGCTGATCTCCCGCTCTGGCTGTGCTGCCTCCCACTTTGCAGTGCAGGAGTGCATGGCCCAGCACCAGGACTGGCGGCAATGCCAGCCACAGGTGCAGGCGTTCAAGGATTGCATGAGTGAACAGCAGTCGAGGCGGCGAGAGGAGCTGCAGAGGAGGAAAGAACAAGCCAGTGCCCACCACTGAGACCTCAAACCACCTATCCCCAGTAGATGGCCCTGCCAAGATCAGCACCCAGCAAGATTATAGAGGAAGAAATCCTAAATGCTGGGTGTGGGAGGTATAAAACATGGGGATAGTTTTTGGATCTGGAGTTGAGAGCCATGGGTTTAGACGTGACTGGCACAAACAGCTGTCATATGTTCGTGGTCAGATCTCACACATCCTCAGCTGTCTTGTTCCACCAGTATTTGCCAGGAAAACAAAGAATGTGGTAAGGGATGCTCCCCCACCCCACATCTTGGGTCAGTGTGCCAAGTACTGAGATGATTTTAGGGACATTTTATTTTAAATTAAATTCACAATCTAATGGTAAACTGATTACCTGATTAGTGCTTTTCTCTTTCATCACTTGTTCTGGATGTTTCAGTCAGTTTAGTGGAAGGAAGAAAGCAAATGGGGAAACTTTTTATTCAAATATGTTTTTGTTTTGTTTTTTTGAGACGGAGTCTCTGTTGCCCAGGCTGGAGTGCAGTGGTGCAATCAGGGCTCACTGCGTCCTCAGTGGGCTCAGGCCATCCTCCCACCTAAGCCTCTCAAGTAGCTGGAACCACAGGTGTGTGCATCACCACACCCAGCTAATTATTCAAATATTGAGTACCTATTAAATGCTAGATTCTGTTGAATTAACAGATACCGAGTCTGGCTTTAACCTGCTCCCAACCCAACAAACACACAAAGTTGGGCTAACATTTTTAAAGTATATTTAACACTAAAATACAGATTTTCAGCTTTTGAAAAGTGGAAAAGCTGTTAACATTGATTTTTATTCCCTCTTAACAATTTGCTGGAGCTGAATAACTCCCCCTTTTAGTAGGTTGTGTTTTCTGATTCAAAACAGTTGCATATCAAATCTCATTTTTCTTCAACAAAACTCTTCCATTCTATTCTATTCTTTTTTTTTTTTTTTTTTTGAGATGGAGTCTTGCTCTGTCGCCCAGGCTGGAGTGCAATAGTGCAATCTCGGCTGACTGCAACCTCTGCCTCCCAAATTCAAGTGATCCCCCAGCATCAGCCTCCCAAGTAGCTGGGACTACAGGTAAGCAGTACCACACGCGGCTAATTTTTGTATTTTTAGTAGGGAACGGGGTTTCACCATGTTGGCCAGGCTGGTCTCGAACTCCTGACCTCAAGTGATCCGCCCTCCTCAGCCTCCCAAAG